TTAATTTTAATTTAAAAAAAAAAAGATAAATTGGTGAACAACGCTTTCCTCTATTTATTTATTATACTCGCATGATTTTTATATAATCTAACTTTTCAGTAAGCACTCTCTTTGCCGTCGATAGAAAACAAATTATAATATTCATAACGCGAATATAATTTTATCAAATTCAAAGAGATGCGCTGGTTACTCATTCCCGTGCCAAAATACAACCAATGAATAGGAAGGCTCGCGAGAGAAATTGTTTCTCGCCTTTCCGATTATCGTTTTCATATCTCTCTCTCTCTCTCTCTCTCTCTCTCTTCTATTCTCATTCTTATATTTTTCTTTCTTCAATCGATCGCCCAGGACTCGAACGCAATATTTTAGAAGTTTGATTATCGTGGCGAGATGTTCGCTATTATTATTTATTTATTATCAGTATTCGTAAAATTTCTTTTAGAATTATTTACTTATAAATAATAATATAAATAATCAATACAATCCTGTTTATAAGTAACTGGATACTATATTATTTTAAGAAGTTTAAGAAAATAGATTTATAATAAGATAATTGAAAAATATTACGTAATTTTTTTATAATATACTTACACATACAATAGCTATCTATTTTACTTTGTAATTACAACGATTATTTATCCTTATTATAACATAATAAGTATCCAGAAACTTATTGACAACGAAATTTTAAAATTTGATTATTAGCCTTCTAATATTCTTGGATTTATTCTATTGACTTAAAATTTTTATTAGTATTCTAACCTTCAAAAAATTCTGAAAAAAGTTAGAATTATTAATAACTTTAAATAATAAATGTACGATAATTAAAATATTCAAAAGTGAAATGTTACAAATGAAGCCAAGGATATCAAAAAGGATTTAATTTTCAAATACGATTAAAATAAACATGACAATGTTATTTCACGAATACGAATGAAAATGATAGTTCTCGAATAGTATAATCGAATTTTCTATAAGCGTTTCCATAGTCCTCGGCAAACGCTGCACGCGAATCGACGCGTGATTCAACACAGTGTCATAAGTCATGCGAAGGGCGCGAATCGCCACGGAGGCGGACATTATTATTAATTGTTGATATTGTTTGTTTGTTTAGTCTATTTTCTGCTGGGTCGTGTCATGTTGCTCGGCTTCGTCAATTTATTAATTCATGATTTCGCGCGATAGATTCATCTTAATTATTTTATAATTTAATAACTATATGTAGAATTTTCATTGTACAAACTATGTTTTTTTATGAAATTATCCTTGATTGTACGGTGATCGAATCTGGAAAAAACTTTAGAGAACATAGTTTGTACCCAGAAACCTATAACGATATTAATTTCAATTTTAGGAAGCAAAATATTATTAAATAATTATACAATATGTAATATTTCTTTGTTTGGAGAAAAAAAAATTGCCGAACATCTTTTCTATACTTTCTATATTTATTTTTTAAAAATTTAAATAATCGTATTAATTTATAACTTTCTATAATTGAAATTTCATTTATTTAAAGAGAGAACAATTTTTATATCAAAATTAATTTTTTTTCTTAAAATGAAATCTATAATCGTCGATTTTCAATGTGAAATTAATTTTGAAAACTATTTGTTTTAAATTTTATTACATTTTATAGAATTATTAATTATAATATTATAAATAATTTGATCGTTTTACTATTTTATTCTCAATCGATTCGTATATAAAGCTTTGGATAAAATTATATCGTATCTCTTGGTTTGATAACTTTTAATGAAATTGTAAAATAAGAGATTATATTTGAAATTTTGATTTATAAGAACAATTTTATTTTACCACGATTTTGATTTTTTCTGATTTATATATTATTTTTTAATATTTTGATATTCTTTGCCAATTCATAGTTTTCTAGTTTTGTATTATCCATCGATTTTAATTATTTTCTGCGATAGTCAATTAAACATGACCTCAGGGGACAAAATGGCGATGGTCAATTGGACTTCGAAGGAATCGTGCTTGATGGTGACGAAGCCGCGGTAACGTCGCTAAATCAAACTCGAGGAAGAGCGAGCAGAGCGTGTTACATAACTCACATGCATTTAACTTGATTTTTATTTTGTTCAGCTCAATAAATAGAGTAAGCGGATCTATTAAGCGGAGGACAGGTGTATCATTAACGATAATACTTCTTACATATATATATACATTTTTTTTTGTTAATTATTTCCCCTCAGTGTCGTAAGATCGTGCGTTTTAACCAAATGAACTAATGAACGTCCGTGATCGTAAACGAAGAAAACGAACGAACCTCGTATGTACCTTGTATTATCACACGAAACTTACTAATTTGTCCTTTTTCTATGTCCAAAATGAAATTACTCCTTTACATTATACATACCGCATGTGTATGCATATTTGATTTATATATATTATACATAATATAAAATATAATATAATATATAATATGATAATACGTATAAATATATTCTGTTGTACATAATGTCTCCAAGAGAATCTCTTCTACTTAATTTTATTGTAATTTTTGTATACTTAGTATCTTGTGTACTTATGTGTAATTTTAATAAAAGTGAATAATACTAATTGATCGTTTTATTTAATTTCTTTGGTTAAGAAATTTATTAATATTTCATAGAAAATGAATTTGAAAATATATAATATATAACATGTAAATATATATTATGTAACAAAATAATTCAAAGTAATTAATATATTTTTAATTAATATATATTAATTATTATATTA